TATATAAACTTAAGTTAAATCTTGGGCACAGTGTCTGGTTGGAGATAGGGAAATAAACTTTTGCAAGGGAAAAGTGTAAACCATGTTATCCTGGGAGTGGTGCAGACCATGCACATAAGGTTTGGGTAAACAGCAGGAGGGATATTGAGGACCATCTCCTGACCGTGGTGGTAGTGTCATGCGGAGCAGCAGTGAAAACACTCTGCTGTGAGTTAGCTCTGGGAGCACTGAACTGAAACAGGGTGAGCTCTCTGAGGTGATGGCATTCAGATACTGGGTTCACTGGCAGCGATACGGTGCACTGCTGGGGCTGGGTGTCTGTGCTGACACGCCTACCTGAGCGTCCCCTGCACATATGTGCATGCTGATGACTGACCATTGCTCCACTGCATCAGTCCCATGGGTGAGAGATGTGGTAGAGCTGCCTGAGAGGGGAGAGCGATGGCAGCAGTCCTGGACTGAGGTGTGTTAATCTAGGGGCCTTAGTCTCCAGGGCAGCTGCACATAGAACTTCGTGGGTTGTAAGTATGGATGGGAGAAATCATGCCTTTATTTTTTACTATCCATGGCAACAAGTCATGATGGTATTTGAGTATTGATAAATTTCTCACTCATAAAATTATATATTTTATACTGTTTTACAGTGTAGATAATTTTTTATTTTGTGATCACATGTATTTCAAAATATGCCATTATAATCACAGGCATTTAAAAATATTGATCTGAGAAATGGTTTATAGTTGTTACCAGACTAATGAAGGGTCCACGGATGTTTACACACACATACACACACACACACACATCCCACATTGCAGTGGAAGATTATGGAGTTTGGACTGGTAGCTGGCGAATAGCCCATTTGACAGCCATAAACAGCTTACTGTGCTACGTTTTATGATCAGTTTAAAAATATTGACAGTTTTTCTTTTATACATGAATCCTAAGGTGTTATATGAAACATATTTCTTGAAAATAATTCTGTAATTGCTACTGGCCTTTATTTTACTTGGAGCAATCATTTATGTTTTGCTTCTGAAGAAGTTTACTTTGATCCAACTTTTTATCCAAAACTTCTTTGGAAGGCACAGTTTATTGTAAGAGGAGAAGGGCGTTGGTGAAAAAAAGGTCCTGTTCAAAGGCTTCTAGGTTTAGTTCCTAAAACTACCATCTACTTTCCTGGTAGGCTAAAACTCAACTTGTCAAATT